CTCTAGGGTCTCACCTTTTCCTCTCCTATGGAACGCTCACCGCCGATTTTTTCCTTCTCCGAAACACCAGTCGGACGATAGGCGGCAACTCGAACGACTGTGTTTCTCACTGAGCCGAGTCCTGGAGACCGTGATTCGTGCTGCAAATAATTCGAGCAAATAAAGAACACGTGGAGCTGCAATATCCTTCGGCTTATAGAGAGCGCAGTCCCCCGCTCCTGCCAGGACGGGGTGAACGAGAGGAAGGTGTAAGTACGAGTGGTGTTCAGTCTCGAAATGAGGTGGGGTGGCCCGATATTGGTTCATGAGTTCCCTGTGAAACGGCTTGACCCTCCGCGCGCCAGGATATTAAGCGATTGAGAGGCGTTTAATGTCTGACGGGAGACCGTTCTGTGTCACTTGTGATCGATGGTAGAAATTTTCCATTGGGAGATACATCCTAATGATAAATCACCGTTCACCTCGGATGATGGTGGCACGGCTGGGGTTCGGCCAGAGATTCTGGCGCGACTTCGAATCCGATCCTGAAGATGGAGGAGTAGAGCTCTCTCGCGGCACCACGTATCACGGAATCGCATCGGCATTTGACCGAACGATCCGACATGTGACTAATCTTTCCACATGGCCACACCCTGAGTACAGCAGTTGAATTGCACAACGCTTGACCGCCTGATGAGTTCGCTGTCGCCTCGTTCTCGACAACGATGTGCGATCCGAAATATATCCGACATGGCTGATGATGATGGGCGCGGGGAGTCACTCGCGAGGTTTATTGTGTTCCTGCAAGGATCTGCACGGGGCTTCCCCGAATAGCTCAGGATCGGCAGGACTGTCGGCTTTTGTCGAGCCATAAGCTCTTGGCCCCGTAATGAAGAGCATCGCGAATCACACTGAATACCCATTTCCCCGAAATCCTCGCGAGGAGCTCAGCGAACTTCCTGTTGTGCAGCAAAATGCTCCGACACGCTCCTCATTCATCCGACCCGGCGCTGACAGAATAAGCGACCACGACAACCGCGACGACATCGAAGACAAAAATTGCTCTTCTTTGTGCAAATCTGCTCCTGACAAGCGGACTCCGTGCGGCACGGACTTCGTACATATATCGACTCTGACATGGCGTGTCTTTCGTGATGTGGTGCTCGTGTGTGTTCTGCGGGCTTCATTCCGATGGTTCGTTTGCGAGTTTTCTCTGCCCCGTAGAACCTTCCGGGAACTCCTCGCGTGATTCGCGTCCGCTATTTCTTGTGGTCAGACGAGCAACTCCGTCTCGGAATTCGAGATTTGCTTTTTCCTAAGTAGCTTCCTCGAGAACCCTTGTCCGAGAGCTCCATTGCCTTCTTGCTGTTCCGCCCTCTCTCCTTGTCTTCAAGTGGACCGGGAGGGCTGATGTGAGGTCGACGGATTTCTACGGCCATTGTGCAGCTTTTTGGTTTCCGGTACAGAATCAATGGCTCCCTGTGGTCGCTGCTCCACTCGTGAGCCGGGATCCCGTCTTTTTCGCCGCTCTCTATTTCGTCGCCTCGACTCCGCCTCGAGGGGACAATGGCGAGCAGACTTTGGAAAGTCCTCGTGTCCATGCTCAAGGTCGTCATTTCCGTCGTTCGTCGGTGCGCCCCTCCATCTATCCGCCCCCCCCCCCCCGTTCGTCTGCCTCATAGTTTCTCGTCTTCGGGCTTCTCCTACTCCTCCCGAGATTAATCCTAATCCACGACTTCCGACACTGTTCCGGCCGAAATATTCTCCGCTGTCTCTCCATAAATTTATTGAAACCCGAAAGTTTTGGCCCGGGGCTCGGATGTGACAAGGGAAGGAACGAGCGAGCTCAGCCGTCTGGGAAGTGGCGGGGGGGGGAGGAGGGGTTGAAGGAGATTCTGATCTGATGTGGCAAGAATCTCGAAAGACTCGATCACAGCGAGGAGATCGTTCCGAGATCAACCCCCCACACAGGGGACGGGGCGCTAAGACGAGCAGCGCTGTCGATTAGCGCGACGCGACGTCGCTCGAGCTCTTCCCGAATTATTTCCCTTGTGGTCGATCAGATCTTGACGCAACTGTAATTCATCATTCGATCGTCTTCATGTCCCCACATTCTAGAATTCCGCTCGGCCCGCGAAGAGAGCCCGACCCTCTCGAGACTCGAATCGAAACAATATCGTCCAATTTCAGGGAAAGAACACGAGAAAACATCGCTGAGCTTCAGAGCTCTCCGATCGGGCCTCGCGAACCATTTCAAAAAATTTTCGCGTCAAAATTCGTTTCCGCTCCAGCAGCTGTGAAATGTCTAACATATATAGAGAGGCTTTACCTCTGAGTGCGTCCGAGGAATTATATTCGACCGTTAATTAAAAGCCTCCCTGGCCGAGTCGACTCCACCGAGGGCTGAATAAATCAGAGGAGTGGAGGGACGAACGCATCCCGGGGAGCGATCGCAGTCTAGAAAAATCGCGCGGAGCAAAATTTCGAGCCCCCAGCAGGGCGGACAGAGTGAAGCGAGCGTGAATTGGAATCATACAGCGAGGTGTTTGAGAGCTTTTTTGCTGTCATTATCAAGTCATAAGAATGCTCTCCCCTCGCAAACCCTTTTTCGCTTCCTGTCCGTCGACGTTCCGACGAGTGCAGCTGAGAGGAATGGGGAGTTGTGGGAGGGGCTCAGAGGGACAACGGGACCAGAAGGGGACCGCACAGGAGAACAAGGCACCAGAGGGAACAAACAGGAAAAACGCGGTCCAGCCGCCACGAGAAGCTTTTGTTCTGAGCTCCCAGCAGTCCCACGCCGCCCTCCTCGTTCTGTTTCTGTTCCCCTATGTTTCCCCTTCTCTGTTTTCCAACCCGTAGGGAGCCTGCGTGCGATGCAGGAAGGGTCCCGGTAGTCAGTCCGTTCGTCTAACTGGCCGGCTGCCTCGCTGAACGGCCACGTTTTCCAGCGGCCCATTCCCCCTAGTCATTTGTTAAACGACGTATCATTTATTTTTGCGCGTGACAACCGAGGGAAAAAATAGGATTTTTATGCGACAATGACACCGTCATATCCCGGAGAGACTTTGACTGGGAGAAAGATAGAGACACGTCGAGGGAGAGATCCAGGAACTATTACGTCCGCGTGCTAGTTGACGTGCTACGAGCCACGTCAACGAACTAGAACAAAAGTATGACATTCGTGTGGCGTTCCACTGTGGGCCTGCCGATTGGGACGGATGCCCCCAGTGCTTCATCGGTGATCGTATGCTATTCAGTGTAATTAATCATAATATCCGACTTGGATGTCCTGACAGGCTGCCACGCCACGGACGGATTGACGTCGCGTCGTTGACTCTCGAATTAAACGGGCCGGGCCCATCGAATGTGATGATTCGCTCAAGAGCTCGGTTTGACGCAACCGGCTGGTAGGATGGTCAAGCATCCGCCTGATAACTGTGCGTCAAGCTCCCGATAACCTCCACAATTGAATCCAACTGCCCGGGGAGCTTTCGCTCGGTCTCCCGGCGAACGGAAATCACTCGGCGGGGACATGCTGATAACACCCGTTTCGTCACACTTGGAGCTCAGCCCACTTTCCTGTTGGAATCTCGAACTGCGGCCTGTGTATTTCCGAGTCGACCTCCACTTGTCAGCTGCATCCTCTCTGACCCCTTGTCTTTCTGCTCGACGTGTACTGTAGCTGTCAATCCCTATCAGAAAAGTTCGGCCTCTCCGCCTGAGCCCTTTCCAGTCTCTTCAAGCCTCCGCCTGAACATGAATTTCTTCGACCGTCCTCGTCGTGAGTTTTGACATGTTCCGTCGGAGACCAGCACGAGGGAAAATGTCCCGAGAGCACTCTCGGAAATCCGCCGCGGCAGTCAACGACCGAGCAGACTCGATCACCGTCTAGAATGGCAGGATAAGGACTGGAAATCCGCTCGGCACGTCGACAGCAGCCGGACCGTCGAGCCGAAGTATCGCTCCGGATCCAGAAGTTCCTTCGGCTATCTGACGGGTCGTTCTGACGGGAATCGGAGTGCGGCTCCGATGGTCTCCGATCGCAGCAACTACGATCGAGAGCGCAGCCAGAGATGATCAGCGACAGGCTGTCCCGACACGATATCGCAACAAAGTTCCACATATGACGAAAGTCGAAACAAAGTTGCGATCTCTCATCTGGTTTCTGAATGCAGCCGGAGCTACGGGTCGGACTCGTGAGGAGGCTTGACCTTGCCGAACTTTCGTTCAAGTACGGTTGGAGACGCGAGAGCCGATTGCTGACAGAGAACCGATCGGGTTCCGTTATTGCTGGCAACTCCCCCTTGTGGGACAATGCAGCGAGTATCGCCGAGAGATCTCTCGACAAGTCAGGATCCGGCCAAGTCCACACAATAGCTTTCGCAAGCAGTGTCCGACTTCTGTCAGAGCGGAGAGTACGCGCAATTCAATGAAATCGGCGCGCTGCGGTGTCGGAATATCCGATCAAACGACGTATCTGACGCGCTTCCCCAAGAAGCTGAATTATGCCACAGATCCCACAATCCCGGTTCCCGCACCGTATTTCCGGGAAGACCGGAGGGAAAAATAATTTTGAAATTCAAGAGGGGAAGGGCAACGGGGACTCGGATCGGATGAACCAATGTCACGCAATGCTCGAATGTCCCTTTAGGGGAAGAGTGGTCTGGTGATCTCTAATGGAACTGTCCTTGAGCTTTGATACGAAGCTCGGCGATTTGAATTACACAGATCTGTCAGTTCTCACCTGAGGGAGGAAATGAGGCGGGGAGCATTGGGGAAACTCTCAGGACGCGCCTTTCGACAGACTTTCAGGATAAGTCCCGCAAGCAGCTCTGATAATCGTCAGTCGGGAATAACACGGCGAGCCAGTTGTAGGATATCCGCCCCCTGAGAATGTAGAGCTCGGTCTCGATCAGAAAAAAGCAAAACATCAAGCGGATCTTTGCCGAGCGATCGGGAATTTCCCGATCTTGTGATGGGGAGCAGGGGAGTGGATATTCCGCTGCGGGATATGCATTTACATGAGTCTATGTTCCGACTTCCGGCCAGGAGCAAAAACATGTGAGATATCCCCGGGAAATTAGACGGCTCACCCGGAGGGTTTCCATTCCATTGGCCTGATCGAAAAATTTATTTGATTTCAGCGCGAGGGCTGCACCGCTCGCTTTCCGCGAGACATCGGAAGTCAATCGGCAACATACATCGGGATACGGACGATCCATTAGAATCCGGTGATTTTTGGGCGCCCCAGTCGAAGGTGTTCCCGTCTTTCGACAACACGACGGCAAGAAATATCACCACTCAGTTAGGCCAGACCGCTTATCTTCATTGCATGGTCAACAACCTCGGGGACAAAACGGTAAGTAGATAGTAGATACACCGATCCCTGTATCCTGCTGTCACGGAAGTATCTCTCTCCATTCTCTCCCATCTGAACGAGGTATTCCTCGAGAATAGGTTCCTCAGTCGATTCCGAGGTGAATGGGTGCGACTTGAATACATTGAAGTCGAGCAGACCGGCTACACAGAGCGGAATGAGTTCGCTTGGTCTTTTTCCCTCATAGGGATCGATTTTCTAGCTCGTGGAATAGAAAACCCATCCGGGGAGATCTGAAAGCTCCCCAGAGTCTTTCTCGAGACAGAAGCTTCTTTCCCGAGGACTCTCGATAATGAACGGCGTAAAAACCCGTTTCCCCGGATCGGCGTCTCGAGAGCTGCCGCTGGAAGTTATTCGTTGCCGGAGCTCTAGAGAGAAGAAGAGACTTCCTCGAGAGTTTGTTCCACACGTCACCTCCTTTGAAGTTATTAGGAGTCAAAATTCTCTCGTCGTGCCCGCTCTTCCGGAGTGATCGCGTGATGTCTGGAAGTGAGTTCATCGTCGACGTCTCGAAGTGAGCGAGTCGACTTGACGAGAGTCGACTCACGCAGTCATTCACCCGACCGATGAGTCGCTCCATCTTTCAGAGGAGACGCGAGCTCAATCAGAAGACGAGCTCAGAGCCGTATTCAGGAGACCCAGCGGGAAAAGGGAGGCGGAAGAAGGAAATATGAAAACTCTTCCAGTGCGCTGAGCCATCGCAAAAACATTTCCGAAATAGATTTGAATTTCCCCGTAGGGACGAAACGCTTCCCGAGACGAGGCGCCAGAGGAAATTCTCCGCCGACTCGTCTCCGTCTCCTAGAGCCGATCTCCCTTCGCAGTCCCAGACGCCGGCCGCTGCTTCTCCCGTCGAAATTTTAGGAACGTACTAGAGATAATTGCTTCTAATTACAGTGGTGCAACGGCGAAATTGCAATTCCGTTCTCAATTCAGCACAACATTGATTACGGTAGCCTCATCAAGCGTCTCGAGTCATCCACCCTCCGTCCGAGCCCAGCCACTGGTAGTTGGGAGGCGCCCTTTCCTTGAATTGCTTACTTCTCGGCTTGACGCTCGAGTTGCTCCTCGAGCATTAGAAGCGGTTTGCTCGTTCATCCGGTCGGTCGGTCGGTCGCAGTTCAAATCCATGCCCCGCGCGAGTTCAATTCCACCGCTGCGACTCGAGACAAAGCGTCGGGATGCCAAGTATTAAAAACAATATATTTGGATGTCGGATGGTGTTCGTAGCCCGAGGCCCAGCGACGACGCGACGTGGTCATCAGGGACAGATGTTCCCTCGTTCCAATTCAATAAGTCGTCATCACCCGCTTCCAGGAGTTCGTTCTCGCGGTTTGAGAACGTCCGGCCATCGGTTTCCGAATTCGGAATCACTTCACAATCGAGAGAGCCGCCGAGGCGGATAAGCATTCAGAGGCCGGAGACCATGCTTGCGGTGAATGGGTCCGCATGGCCATCCGATGCCCTTATGCGACGGAATAACGACTTCCTGTCGAGATCTTTGGCTCGGAGCGTTCCGAGGAGCGCTTGGTCCCGTATTAACGAGGCGGTGTCCGAGCGCCGCTCAATGGGAGCGAAACTGACCAGACACTGTTATGATGCAGAATTACAGAGCTTGCTTGTAATCGGATCCGATCGGGAAAGGATCCGCCGAGCTCGGATGCAAGCGGGGCGACCGGTCGTTCGCATGGAAATGGCTGAGGCCGCATCCGAACGGGTGGGCAGGCGGGCGAGCATTCTCGCGAGCGAATCTATTCCACGAGCGTTCCCCATGGCCTTCGCGAAGCAGCAGAATCCGCATCGGTAGTCCATTCGCGGAGCACGACCGTACAAAGCGAAATCATAATCGATTCGATCGCCGCGCAAACATATACAACTGCATATCTCCAGCCGCAAGCCAGATGACGGCCATAAGTTTTGGCGACGGCAGCGGCGACCAAATAGAAACTGCGATACACCGGAGGGAACGAGATAGAGATATCGAAAGAGAAATTACTTATGGTTTTTCCTCCCGCGTCTGGCTCGCTTGCACGTACCGAGTTTTCGTCCTTGCATTAATCACCGGTACCGGGCATATCGTTCTCTGGGAAGGAGAGAGCCCCGCCACTGGGTAAGAGGACACGCTCTACCGAACCAGTCGTGTGATCTGCTCGAAGAAAAAAAGAAGCTGCAGGTGGGACCCTGTAGTGTTTTTGAGACGAATCTCCGTCTGCCAGGGAGAAAAAAACGGTTCTCTTTTTCGGGAGGATCAGGATCACCTATTTAGAAAATGAATAATATGTATTATTCCGCTAATTGTTGTTTTGCGTTCATAGATATCTCGCTGGATATCACCACAAACGAAAACTCCTTGGGAGAGAAGCAGCGTCCGTCTACGCATCCTCTCTCTGTTTCTCGCCTTGGCCCTAGATGCTCTGCGCGGAGCCTTCATCCGACCCGTATGAGAGGAATTCCCCGTCTCGCGGTATCCATGAATACATGACGTGGGAAGGCCCTTCTGACCCTGGGGATATTATGAGAACTTCGAGCCGAATGTTCAGAATCAACGTTCCGTCCGCTCTTCCGGTCGGTCTTGTGGGGTCTTCCCTTGTCCATCTGCACTTCGCGATGTTGCGCTTCCTTCGCGATGTTCTCCCGCTCCGAGTGCTCCGTTAGCGGATGGGAGAGGGGCGAAGAAACTAAATTCAGTTTCTAAGTGCAGTTGTCAGGAGCTGAGATTCTTCGGACATGCCAAGCGACTCCTCGTCCCATTTGAGTCATAGAGATGCATTCCGGATAGAAATGTGACCTTCGTGTGACCGAAGATAGTTCGATCGTTGCGATGAGGCACGTTCCCTCGGCTGATCCCTTGAGCTATTGCCTGCGTCGTTCAGAACGCTCCGGTTCGGCAATTGTACGGATCTCCTAAAACGATCCGAGTTTCCCGGAGGCTCGTCTCTGTTCGCCGAAGAATCAGTTTCCAAATGTACAATGGTTGCGCCAGCGAACACGTGGAGGGAAAGCAAATGAAACCTAGCCTGGATTATAGGTTGCATGGCACGAATGGGGGGCTGGAGCACACGAACGAGAAGTAGCAGGAGGCAAATTAGCACAAGAGGACGCAGAAAACGACGACGACGACGGCGGCGGCCTCGCTCGCGGTGTTAGGAGCAGCAGCAGCGGCGGCGGCGGCAATGGTAGCCGTGAACGACGAACGCGAAAAGAGATGCGCAATTTGCAACTTGCAAAGGGACGTCGGTCGGGGGAAGGAGAATTGGGCTTCACGGCCTTCGTCGCTGATTCGGAATGCATGGCGGCTGGGTCCTGCCGGCTGGGAGCAGAGCCACGAAATAAGATGCGATCGCGCGAGGGAGCCGGAGAGAGGAATAAGGACACAGGCGGCGGCGAATAGAAAGAGAAGATACGAAACAACAAAATAAGAAGAGCTAAGAACGTCGCCGACAACGAGTGCAATTTGGGGTTTGCGTGCAGAAGCCACGCAAAACGAAGACATGGGCAGAGAGAGGGAGCCCGCGATCCCTTGCGGTGCTTGCGCTGGGGCGAGCTTCTGCGGCAGGCTTCAGGACCGTCGCAAGGGGAAGAATGCGTATAGAAGCAATTCATTCCGGGAATGGTTGTTCTCTTTTCTCGCAAGGGCCGCATCGTCACTCCGACAGCAGCCGAGGGTGACGACGTTGCTGAAATTAGTCCCCTCCATGTTCAGTGCGGCTGTCGCTGACTGGGAGCAGCTTCTCCCCTCCTCCCGCAACGACCCCATCTCAAATGGCCTTGGCCGTCATGGCTCTCGCTCGACAAACGTCCTCCCTCTCGTTGTCGGTATTCTTCTCCGCCCGCCTTTTCTTCCCATTTACCGCCATCGCCGGTCTCACTCAACGTTGGGAATCGCTGCTCGCCTTAAAACCGAACAACGCTCCATAACATAAACCCAGGAGTTCATGTGAGGAGAGCAGCTCCTCTCTCTCTCTCTGCCGGCAAATGATGCTCCCGTTTTAACCCGAATCCTCCCTCGAAGAATCAATTCATCAGGACGACGCCGGCGCCGCGATGCTCACATCCTGTATTCAGAGTCTGTCGATAGACTCGAATTTCCACTGCGAGCACCTGCCATTGTCGTCGCGCGGGTCTTTACTCTGGTGCGGAAGGAGGGAGAGAGAAGAGGACGCTCTATAAAGTATGCTTTTGTGGGAACTAGGAAAGTCTCGATAAGGTTTCGCCTCGAGCTTTTTCTGAAGGTCACGAGTGTGCCGGACACAGAAAAAACGCTCAAGATGGCTCCGGAGCTGGGAAGGGATAATTACGGCGACGAGAGAATTCCTGCGGATTGAAAGGGTCATTTGAATGATTCTGCCATGAGACGTCGCTTGGGGATTCACCGCAACTCGGATGGACCGCGAGTACGGAGCTGTGGGATTCCTTTTCCTCTCTCACCTCGCTTCCGCCAGAGAAAGAAACGAACGTAACAAATCACGGGATTTAAGATGCGGCGATGAAATATTTGTTCAGCGTATTTCCAACCCACTGGAAAGTCCTTGAGCGTACAAGGTTCTTCAGGGAAGGAGCCGCTTGCTCCATATCGAATGCGGTCATCCGGCGATAAAGAGGAAAAATGCGCAAGTCGTTTATCCACTTGTCTTGCTCAGTAATTTGCTTCTTTTGTTTGCGTGTCGGTGGGAAACCGTACTTATTAGCGATTACGCACACGGACACAGACAAACAAACACGTGATCCGACACGGAAGCCTCGCTCACAAAGGCAATATCAGGACTCGCAGTCACCTGGATGATATTGCATTCGATCGAGCTGGACTCGAAGAACTCCTGGGTTTCCCGGAATATTCCAAGGCCCTGTGATGTTGCACTGTCATGCGGATTCGGGCCACTTGTCAGTCCTGCGTTGGGAGAGGGTAATGGGAGCCGTGGACTTGCCTTGCGGTGTCCGTCACAGAGCAGTCTTCTGCCCGTATTTTTTCGCTCGGTTGGTAT